GGGAAAAATGTATTTAAAATACGGTTTTACTTTTTATTTCACCTTTTTTTTTTCGGAAATCCCCTCGGATACCATCGGTGGCATGTCGGACTCGAACCGACTAAAACCGTCTCGGGTTCCTAATAGCCGGGGAACCAGGTATACCCTAGAAAGGAAGTCCCTGGTGACTTCTTTATTTCACCTGTCATCGCCTTTTTAGTGAGTTGGACGCCTGACACAGTTGACATCGTCCCGGCAGGGAGCTTTACTCTTTTAAATAAATTTTAGTTTAAAAAAAAACACGCTTTTGTAGCTAGCCGAACTAAAAAGTAGGAAATAAGTTTCTATAAGTTTAAAATAAAAGAAAACGTAAAAAAGCGTGAGCTGCTTTTCAAGATACTTCTTAGTTCGGCTAGCTACAAAAGCGTTTTTAGTTTTTTTTTTAACTACAATTGTTTTTTCCTTTCTTGGACTAAAGACTATAAAGAAGAGAGAGAGAAAAAGAAGAAACTATTAAATAACAAGTAAGTTTATCACATATGTTTAAGAACACGCCTTAGTACGTGACAAAAGACACTACCGTATTTATAGGTATGGAAAAAGCCGTTATTCCTGAACGTCTTGATCAGGATAATGACAAGCTATTTAAATTATTGCATTGTCAATTTAATTCGACGTTTTAAAATGGGTCAAAATCTCGTTCAAAGATTCCGTTACATACATACATACTAAGCTAATAAAAGGGTCTTAAAATGGTCAAGGTAAATCAATAAGACCTTAAATATCATTAAATATTGCATAGATACATCTAAGAAGAGAAACCCGAACATTATCTTAACGCGTGAACAGATATGAAAATGAAAACCTCAATCTGTTTCCTCATGCGATAATTGAGTCAAAAATGTTTCTTGTAAATCTAATTTTATCACATTAAATACTTAGATGTTAACAAGATAAACGCCGATTATATTAACTTATTAACAATCACGTTCCTTCACAATAACCGTTTGATTTGTTAGTCGTGATATCCACATTTATCATTTCAATCCTTAAAAAAGATTAAAAATTTGCATTAATTTAGTCTAATAAATAGCTTCAGTGCAAATAAAACTATCTATTAAACTTTGTCTAGCGCCATCTACCGAAGACCATTCGAACTATATCGCGATGTGCTCCGCGGTTTTGAAGTTGTTGCATTGATTTTAAGTCTTTTTTCATGCCGGGATAAGAGGCCAAACAAGCGGATGGGTCACCTGATGTTAAGTAACTACCAACGCCCATGAATATTTACAACTCAGTCACAAATTCGATGTTGTCTTTTGAGTCTTCCCTCCAGAATCAGAGGTTAAAGGCAACGAAAGATTTGCTACACCCCGTTGCCCTGGTATCACTCCGGTTCCTATTCGTATCCATACTCTAAATCCATACTCTAAAATAAATGGTTTATTAACTCAAATAATAGCTATGATACATATTATAATTAATAAAATTAATTCAGCAGGTTACTTAAAAATAAAGGGATATTAAGATTAAAATAAAGAGATATGAAATAGCGACATACCTATGTCGGTAGCAATAGATTACCGCCTTTTACTGCCTTTATATAGAATTTTCGCGAAAAAAAATTGAGTCGTAGCGAGACATCCAGTAAATGTAAAACATCGAACTCATTTTTTAGATATCATTATAATGAGTATAAAAAGATGGCGTAGCGCTGAGTGTTATGGATTCGATTCCCACATAGGACAACACTTTGTGTGATCCACAAATTGTTGTTTTGAGTTTGGGTGCTCCTTGTTTACGTTTGTAAAGTCCCGCGATACGGGATATACATGTATTCCTAATGCGGGAGTAGTACCTTAAAAGAAAGCTTATGAAGGGAAATAATAAGAATAGTATAATTAAAAATAATGTTCAGATTTTTTTGAAATAAAAGATGGTTGTGTACATAATATACATTTATATTAATTGACTTACACCACACCGCATTACATATATTGCATGTACTAATGTGGCGACGTCGCCACGCCAACAGCCTGACCCTCCGCAGATATGTTGCACAATCAAAAACGTAAGGGTGCACGGTAACACCTCTTACGGGAAAATGTCACTCGTGCCTTTAACTTAGACAACCGCAATGCGTAGAGACGCGGAAAATATCATAGAGTCTATGATTATTTTGTTAGTTTAGGCTATGATTTCAACATCTCGACTTTTTTGTCGGCTTTATAAATACCCCGTCCCGTGACCCACAGGAAAAAGGATAGGTATCTATGTCCCCATAACTTCAAAATTGATAAAGTTAGATATGAATCGTGTGTATAAATAGATATAATAATATTGTAATTTAATTTTTAATGTGTAGTTTCATTGTATGAGAGGAACCTAACTAGTGTGTGTTTGTCGTGTGGTGCGTGTTATTTGCGGTCCTTCTCCTTCCTCGTCGTCGTCCTCTTCCCCTTCCTCTTGTCCGTCGTATGTTTAATGTCTGTTGTGTGTCCAGTGTATGTGCTATGTTGAGTGGGTCTGGCGTGTCTGGGGATTGCGTATGTCTGGCGATTGTTGCGAGCCCTGTGTTTGTGGGTCCGGTGACTGATGCATGTTTTGCGATTCCTGGGTATTTTGTGTGTGTTGGTCCTGTGTGCTGTGTATGAATACCGTATCGCCCAAAACTTTACTGACTATGGTCACTGTGTGTATGGCTGCTTGTTTTTGAAGGATGGTTATGTCGATGTTGGCTTCTAATTTATCTATGTATTTCTTTATGCTTTTAGCGACTATTCCAGTTGCGCCTATTTAGTTTAGGCTGTGATTATGATTACTAGAAATTACCTGTATATTATGTTTTGCTATAGTTTAACGCAGGACACCAGCGCTGCAAAAAGACGGCAAACTTGACACAAACCCTATACCAACCCGCCTGGCCAGCGTGGTATAGTAGGCCAAAACCTTCTTTTTAAGGAGAGGCCTATGTCCAGCAGTGGACTATTAAAGGCTGTTGATGTGATGTGATGTGATAGTTTAATTAGTTAGTTTATAATTTCATGCTGCTCATATTTGAACTTCATTACCACAGCTACATAACAAAATAACCCCTATTTGAAGTCTATGTAACCGCCATTACCCCTTCGTCTGAGCAACATCACCTAAGTAAATAAGGAACAATAACGAGATTTCTTTAAATGAAGGACATTTCACCATTTCCCTCTTCTTCCTCTGTATTCTAAACGCTCTAATGTATTACTGCAAATAGACGTCAGTGTTAATAAAATAAACGCCGATTATATTAACACTAAACTTATTTCAACAATCATGCTCTTACATAATAATTGTTTGATTAGTAAGTCGTGATCCACATATATCATTACAACACTTGAATAAGATCGAAAATTTTCATTGATATAGATTCAACGTACAATTTAACTTGATTGATGAAAATTGATTCAAATTTAGTGTCATCTAGCGATGATAAACCCAACTAAACCGTAACGTCTACACGGTTCTGATTATACCGATTACTCCAAGTCCAAACCTATTTGGCCATGCATTAACTTTCTACATTAAAGGTCTATTCGCTTTGTGACACAACATATTGTTGGAGACTATCTTAGTCCCTAAAAATGCTTATTTCACAAAGAGCATCACTCTCCGTCGGGTATTGGTGAATCGGAGGACCGATCAAAAAACTTCATTGCTTCTATTAAACATTTCCAACAAACACATTAAAAATCACCAAAAACACCACTTGTGCCCTCAATTTGTAAAGGTTTCCCTGGTTATATCTCAGAAACCATCAGCTGATACGGATCTGACACTGGGTTTACCCTTGGGCGTACCATACCATCCTACATACAAAAAAGGTTTTCTAAATCGGTCTGGTTTAAAAATTCTTTCTTTACGTACGTAAAAAAAATACGTATAGCCGACTAGCCGAACAATGAACACGATATCTCCGCCATTTTGGAAGACGGTCATAAATGCGAGGTTTTAGTTAATCCAATCGTCGAGTCATACAAATAGGCTAATACATTATCGATATTTTTCTTCTTTAAAAACAAACAGATGTAATTATTATATGCATATGCAGATAAAATTAGATGACTACAATGCTTTACATTCTTCATAGTAGGTAACACGCATCAGATCAACCAGTGCAGTATAGTGCCCAACGCTGGTCTTCACACCGTCCCACAGGGGACGTGTGGTGGCTGGATCGGGGCCTCAGCCCCCTGCCGCTGGCCCGCTACCCCTAAATAGGTGTAGGACCTGGGCTGTCCTTTCGGTAAGTTTTTCTTTGCTCTTCAGGTGAGACCCGTATAGTGCCCATTGTGTTCAAACAGCTTATAAATGGTAGAGGAAGCCAACAAGGCGCTATCGAATACGGTTGGTAGAAAGAGAAAGAAGATTGTTTTGGTCTTGCATCTCTTTCTGCTCTTGTCACTGATTGGCTATTTTAAATGTCCTCTTCAGTGTCAGCCAATCAGTGCAGAGAGCAAAGAGATATAAAACAACCAAACCTGTCTTCTTTCTCTGTCTACCGGTCGTACGCCACTTTACGATTTGATTGTTCGCAAAATCCGGCGTAAAATCAAATCGACTATACATTTTAAAGCGATTATTTTCAGAGAAAATAAATAATAGTTTTTTTCATTCAAGCTTAAATTTTTTAATCTTCTGATCTTGCTCAAGGCACTAAATATTTATCAAACATTGTAAACGAATAAATAATACATCTAAAATAGTGAATTGATTAAAACGATCTTGCAACACACAAATACCCAATCGATTTTTTGTACATATATCTTTTGTCTATGGCACAGCTGGCGTGGCTGGATTGACAATTCAACAACGACGCCATTTTACGTTGCTGTTTCCTTTGCATTTGTATGGCTTTTGGAAATATTGTAAAATATTAATTATTTGTTAGTATAACAAATCTGTGATTGTTAATAATTAAGTAGTGTGATAACTTTGTTGTGTTTGACTTATTGTATTGAAGTTTTCGTATATTTTACGGTACAATGGGCAGAAAGAAGAAGAAGGCATCTAAACCATGGTGCTGGTATCCTTTTTGTTAACAAGATTATGAAATTAGATCTGATGTGACCTTCGTAATTAGGTCACACGCTAATATAACTTATGTTTTTACAAATCTTGGTACTTATATTTCCTTAATCAGAATACAGGTATTGCAACAGGGAATTCGACGACGAAAAAATCCTAATTCAGCATCAAAAGGCGAAACACTTCAAATGTCACATTTGTCACAAAAAACTATACACGGGACCCGGATTGTCAATACACTGCATGCAGGTAAGTGCGTCAGTGTCATAATTTTGGCAAGCGCTCCGCCCGCCCACGGCCACTGCGCGACTTGCTTATTTTAACTCGCATACTTCAACATACATCTTTAGATATTTTGGCGCGACTTACGGACCTAATTCTACTCCCTAATAGTCATACTTAGTTGTAAAAAATGTCTTTGCCTTTATTTACTTGGGTAGGTGGTTTCATAAAACATAATATTTTATTAATACATTGACTTTATAATTCTTGCTCTATTTACAGGTTCACAAAGAAGCCATAGATAAAGTACCAAATTCATTACCAAATAGGTCAAATATAGAAATAGAAATCTATGGAATGGAAGGTATACCACCGGAAGATGTGAAGGAGCATGAGAAACAAAAATCAGGTATAAAAACTTTTATTTGGGCACAAGTGAAACACTTTGGATTGATGTATGTACAATACTTTTTTTATTATGCTTGGGACACTAGTTTAATGTAAATTGGTGTGTAGTTTGATTTTATGTTCCAACATAACTAAATATAGGTGAATTTTGGAGGTATAGTTATTATTGTTTTTTTCTATATAGGTGGTGGTAAAGGGTCCGACAGTGAAGATGATGAGCCTGCTGCAAAGAAAAAAGCAACAACAGCTTTGGTAAGTATCATATCATCGGTTTTAAACAGTAAAATATATTTATGTCCTTAAACTCTTTTAAAACATATTTTCAGCTGGGACCAGGACCTTCAACAGTTTCACCCGGTATACTTCCCACACCTATGGGCCCGGCCCCTCCGGGAATGTATCATGGGCATATGCCTATGAATCCAATGATGCCTCCATTCATGCAGGCGCACAGGTAAGTTTACTCGCAACTTAATTTTGTGTATTACTACAAAACTATACCATAATGTTGATAAAAGATTCTATGATGTATATTAACATTATAGACTATTGTAGAATATATTTAGAATAAATTAATTTTCAGGTAATTAAGGATATAATTTATACAGCATTGTCTGCCCAGGGTAAAAGTAATTCCAAAGACTACACATTACACCTATAAAACTGTTAATCTTATAAAGATCTGCAATATTATTCAACCCTATATCTGACATTGGAATGAAATGTTATCATAACGCTCTTATCACAAGGTTTTATTCTAAAGAACATAGTTATAGTTAAACACTGCAAAACACTGATTATACCATATTGTAAACAGTTTTATATTTAATTTATTCTAAATATAATTCTTAAAAAACTTAACTGTATAATTTTAAATATTTGGGTAGTCCGATTACAATATCTTTTCAATATATTAGATTGTAACATGGTTGATTGGATAAAGTACTTCCGTGATCAATCCCGAGAATTGGCCTCATCTGAATATTTAAAATTTAAGAACCTAAATAATTCATTAAGTACATGGGTATCCCAAGCACAGACCTGTGTTTCTTTTTCAGGTGTATAGTCATAGTAAACTAAACAATACAAAACTAATGTTTTACTGTTGCACTCAAAGCAACAATTGAGATCCATGAATAGACATTCAGAGTCTGGGTGTACTTCATGTGAGTGATTTCAATTATTGTAAAGTCTCACACAACAGTATGTTCTTGATGCTGAGCTTGATGATGAGCTATTTTTTACTCATATATAAACATTAATGTTTTATACTAAGCGCTGTCATGCCATTCAATATAATTATATAACTGTACAAATATTGCCAGGGTTACATCAAAGGACTGTATACCTTTTATCATTAAGTTTAAAACTGCAGACAAAGCCTAATATATAATAAAAGAGATAGTTATTCCTTGCATTAATTAGATAACAGAAAAATGTTTTATTCAAAACTTAAACAAGTAATATGGTTACTGAATAAATAAAATACATAAACATGTATTATGCATCATTTTCTAATTTTAAGTAGGCGGTTCACCTTGATCCACTGTTGCATACTTGAAGGTCATACACTAACATCACTATTAACTTGTCTAGCTTAATATTACTTTTGTTTTTTTTTTAACAAGAACTCAATTTTAGACTGGATGAGTGTAAAGAGCCTTGATATCTTTGTTTTTTTATATTTAAAACTAAAAATCCTGCATTCTTGAAGCAGTATATAAATATTAGTTTTTTGTTTAATTTGGTGGCAAGTTAATATGGCATTGTGGTATCACATGATTATAGCTGCTATAATCTTTTTTACAATAGACAGACCTAATTCACTAGCAGCCAACTGAACTCAGCTGTTAGTGTTAGAATCTATTGTCATCTAGTAATTTCAAATTGAGTGTCAATATCTACTATAGCAAATTTAACTCTGTTTGTTGGTAAATCTAAAAATAATGTTGGAAAAGTATGAAATATCTTCACGAACTCCTACTTTAGCATATATTGCGTGTTTAAAGTTAATCATGGCTCAAACAATTAAAGTGATGTTGCAGACTTTATTATTTCCTATTGTATTCAAAATAGAAACAACGTAACAAACAAGATGATTTCCTGTTATCTAATCTGTAGATAGTCAAATGATAATGAAAATGTAAGCAATAAAATTGCAAGCTAACTTGGGTTTAATTCCGAACACAGCTTTTCAAAAGCATTGGATAAAGCCATGTTCTGTTGTCACTCCACAGAGATACTTTAATTGTCTTGTTAAGTCTGTGTTTTTATACGCTTGGTAAGTAACAAGTCACAGTAACAAAGAGGACTAATTATTATAAAAAATGAGGATAATATGCATAGGATAGGATATAAAGATATGTATGTTACACTTATCTACTATACTTACAAGCATTTTAATGAAGACATAATGAGTTTTCTGCCTTCAATAACTGAGTGGGTACTCAATCTAAACTAAACTTATAAAGAAGTCAGACACCAGGTTACCTAATTGCTTACTGTGATATTATTATAGAGTAATTCCATTCAGGGTAAGTTTTTCAGTATCAGGTCCGTTAAGGCAGATTTTTGTCAATATTATTTACCCTTACTGTGTTAATGCATATTCAAAACCGAAACCAGGGGTTTATAAGACTACTTTTTATTTTTTCAGGATGATGATGCCTGGCATGAGGCCGTTGTTCCCGGCCGTCAGCATGCCTCCCACGTCCACTAGTAAACCTACGTTCCCTGCATATAGGTATGTTCATAAAGTACAAAAAAAAAAACACTGTAGTTTGAATTAACGATGTTGTATTGGAGGGAGTTAAAACAAGAACCTATTTTTAAATTTTATTAAACATTTCGTGTGTGCAAGATAAAATTATAAAAATTTTATCTTGCACAATTTAGCTTGAATTTGTTGATAATACTACTATTGTGTAATATTAATTTAAAACGAAATAACTTTTTAATTCTGACGAAACATAAACCATTAGGTAAACTAGTATAAAAATTATTCCTCAGTTCAGTTAATTTTGTTCATGTTTGAAAATCAGGATATGGACACATTGACTTTCTTAATACTTTGGCACTAACAGTCTGCCTCAGATTTTTGTCTGAATGACATTTCTTGTGTGGAATGCACCAAAGCATTCAGCGATTATGTGTTTTTTTTGTTAGATAGCTGCTTTAAATACCGCCAGATTTAATGCTTAACATCAGGTTTAGATTTTCTAGACAATTTTTATTGCCTCTGAAAAAAATACGTGACACAATATAGCGACTACGTCATCTTTCGATAGACATAGACCTTTGTCAAAACAAGTAAACCATCTTGAACAGAAATAACATTATATCGTCATTTAAATAATATTACTAAATTATACAGTCGATATAACTTACTAAAATTGTATGTTACATTTTAAATACATTTGAAAAGAAGTATTTAAACAAAAACAAAATATGTTCAATTAAGAAAATGTATTGAGCTTACACAATACGACATAACTGTATGTACATTTATATATTTTCTTGTTTATTCTTTTCTGAGAGTAATAATTTTAACTGGCTTGCGAATACAATGTTTTTGTAAAACAACACAAAGTACAGATCATAATTTGTAGTAATAAACTATGTATAACGACACGAGAAGCACAAAAGATGTAGTGTTGTTTGAACATGGAATCACAAATTAGTTTAATAATTCATCAATATAAAAATAACACTAAAAGAAACATAGCATAAACATACAAATGGTTTTCCGTTCGAAATCATTGGTTCGTCATAAAGTATTGGACGACAGTATCAAAATCCAAAATTTCCGCCACACTACAGTAACGCGACAATAAGCGCGCCGCCCACAACGTCGACGACAAGCAGCTCCGACCCCAAAGAAAACGGCGAAGTAAAACCTCCCGCGGCCAACTCGTGTCCTTTGGTCACGGCCACGGGCGCCGGCTCCAAGATCATTCACCCCCCAGAAGACGTGTCTGTAGAAGAAATACGAGCGAGAAATATCAAGTACAGACCAAAACCGAAACCTGACGCGCCAGTGCCACAGCCGCAGCCCGCGCCCGCCATGATCACTCCTAGTACGAGTCAAGCCGAGGTATGGGTTAGTTGTTTTTTATATCTTTCTTTTACTTGTAGATTACCAACACATGTGTTTTTAAGTATTGTTGTTGTATGGCACTTTTGAAGTTGATTAATCGTAAAAAAAATATGTAAATATAGAGGCAGATATGATATCAAAAGCTAATCATCACATCACATTGACAGCTTTTTATAGTCCACTGCTGGACATAGGCCTCTCCTTAGAAAGTTAATAACAAACATTATTTCTTTATTTTATAATATTGAGAATGTTTATTATGCTACTACAACTATACATGCTGAATTATTGGACACACATAGTATCATATGTTGAATTAACAAATTGCTAGTAATATGGAAACCAACACTATAGGTCCCATAAATCTAAAAGTACTCTGTACGTACCTATTTGCCGACTTTGACGTATTTAATTTAGTATCTTTGTACGAGCTACGTTATACATCTCTCGTATCGTGCCGCCATACTTTGAGCTGTGTCAGCAATTTATTTATTTGAAATCGTAGGTTCAGTTCGCGTTCCTATTCGACTATCGATCGACGTGTCGCGGCTCAAATATATCATTTTTACCTATCGATGTAGTCGATTAAATTTAAAAAAATAATGGATGAACGCGGACCGATTTGAGGTATGATTTAATAAACGAATAAAGTAAGGTGCCGATACAGCTCAAAGTGTGTTGGCACGACACGAGCTCACCGCTCAACGACGGCCCCCCCCCCCTCAGGTGGCGGCGCACATGAACGCGGCGGTGGCGGCGGCGCGGCAGCAGCAGGCGGCGGCGGCGCTGCGGCGCGGCGTGCTGGGCGGCGTGGTGGGCGTGCTGCCCGCCTCCATGCCGCGCGTGCCCGTCTCCATGCCGCAGATGGCGCCCGTCATGCCCATGCTGCCCGTCATGCCGCAGTTCAACCTCGTGCGCCAGCTGCAGCCCGGTCAGTACCCCTGAACTCTCGGACGGTTCTCCCCTTTTCCGTTTCGAGTCGCCCCCTCTCCCGAGTTCTATCTTTGTTGAGTACCGATTACGTATCGAGCGCTGGTAAATTAACGATCTAGATCGTTGACCGCCCACATTGAATGATTTGCGTGATCCTTGGATTATCAGCCCTCATACGCTGTCGTGACGTACGTTCTATGGTGTGTCACCGAGTGTAGTCTCGTTGGACGTTATCTATTAAACTTGTAGTCGTTTGACCGTCGTGTTTTAAATCATTTTAGAACGAATAGGGTAGATTCACAGCTGTTTATTAAAGTCCCTTCTTTCATACGAATACACTATTTGAATCAGTATTGCAATGTATTTGTATTTTCCAGAGAACATATCGAGGTATTGAACGATTCATAATATATTCTGATTATATTTATTGTTAGACATTAAAATGATGTTATGATATATTCATTGTAATAGATTGTATTTTTGATGTTGAATCGGTCCAAAGCCTGATCGCCGAGACTCGTATAATGTTTTGTATGACATAAAGAAAATTATGTATTGTTAAAGACATTAATTAGTAAAAGACTGGATTTTTGAGCATTCCCATTAAATATTAAAATAGTCCATATTTTTATATTAACGACACAGTTAGTTATCATTGTTGCTATGAGACAGCATTTGACACATGGTAAATTGCATTTATCGATCACAACAATAATATAGATTGGGTGATTTCTTTAGTGATAATAATTCTTCATATAGATAGCTCTAGTGTAAGATGAAAGTAAATCAATCATTGTTTTGAGATCTTTATCGTTTTGTTATACACGCAACACTGTGCTTTATACGTGGAAAATGGAGTGTCATAACTTAATTTCTTTAAATAAATTTGCATAATATCAAATGATTTTAATTTCTATTTTCCACGACAACTTTGATCTTAATCAATTTGACTTGTGTGTAAGGAAATGATCGCTTATGTTTTAAGAGTGTGGAGGAGATCTCCATTTAGTTCGCTAATGTTCGAAGGCATCACAAGACACTCGAGCGCTTGGCTTTCAGAGGCGTCTGCGGTCAGTCGCTCGGTGGGTGCCAGTCGTTACGTTCCTAGGATAAGTTAGCGCCGGCTCAGTATGATGAACACCTAACAGCTTGTCGATACTCACGCCCCTAACACCCTACTAACACGAGCCGACCGATCTCACCCCCGGCCCCCGCCCCCGCCCCCCGCCCCTCATAGCTCTAGTACTGACCGATTCGTCTTAGACAAAACACTGTCAAGAGTTAACTGTGATTTTGATGTGCCATCCGCACTTTCGGAGGAACGGAATGAAAATGAGCGGTAATTTTATTCACATTCCTTAATGGATTTGCTTATTGTAGTAGCTCTTACTTATTACTGTCTCGATTTTCTCGTAGTGTCATATAAAATGTGACTTTGTCGGTTTACGGGTGGGTACACTAATATTATATTTACGTACAGTAGTTTTGTCGCTTTACAATGTGCATGATACGAACGAGTTTAATTAATAGTCGTTGGCTGAATTGGATTCTACGAGCAACCATTCTCGGATCACACTCAAACATGCATGAACTACGGATATTACGATTACTACATCGCCGAGTACTTTAAAGTGTGATTTTTCATGTGAATTATTTATCCTACCTACCTGTGTTCCTTTGCTTATACTGCACCTTTGGAGTCGCCCCGGCCCGTGTCCCGCGTCCCGCTCTCGGCCCGGCCCGCCCCGGCCGGGACGAGGTGGCGAGACGCGTGACGCGGGCCGGGCCGGGCGTGGTCCGGTGACAGGCGATTGTTCAGCAGTCACAACGGCTCCGCCGTGTGTTGGACCGCGCGGTCCCCTGTTGCTAGACGTGGCGCTCCGGCCCGCACTGACCCGTGTTGTGTGTGCAGGGATGCTGCTGCCGGGTGGCATGGGCGGCATGGGAGGCATGGGCGGAATGGGCGGCATGGGAAGCATGGGCGGCATGATGCCCATGGGCGCCATGTTCCCTGGAGGCGTGATGATGCAGCCGCGCTACCGGTAGTCGCCGAGGCCGCCGCTGGAGTCCCGAGCTCGCGCTAACTCGACGACGCATTAAACCGAATCCTATCTGTTGACAGAGGCCGGCCGCCCGCCCTCGAGCCCGGCCCGAGCGAAGGTAGGCGCTCGTTTCGTAGTAATCGTTTATATACGTCCGCTTGACCGGTTGTGTGTCCTCGTTGCTAAACCGCGGTGAGGGATACTAACGCACAGGTAAGGGCAGGACAGGTGACGGAGGTCGCCCCGGCCCTGCCGTGGTTGGGCCGACAGTTCCTTGCGGGCGGCCGCAGGCGACGCATTCCTTGTCACAACGACGTGTTGTTGGATTGGCGGCCCCCTGTCCCTTAGCCATCACTCATTATATTCCTTACCTTACCACTGAGCTCTCACATAGACTGTCGACAACAGATTTCAGTAGTTCTTAAAATTTCTGGTGTTAAGAGATGTGTGTAAGAATAATAAATACATAAATGTTATCTGCCTTGATAATTCTCTAAGCGTTTCCACATAAAGTTGTGACGTTTGCCTACTCTTGTAGATTTTGACTATTTTACGCAATAAATGCTCTGGACATTATAACTTGTTTTTTTTATTTTACCGTTATTCACTTTGTATGCTTCACCATATGTAATTTATCAATTACCAACGATGTAAAAATATGTTAAACCAAAAAAATATATAGAATACTTATATAGCGAAAGCCCGTGATCGTCAGACCTTCGTCAATATTAAGTCTGAAAGTTTTCCTACTGAAACACAAATTAGGCACAAACAGTCGGCAAACAGCTCCAGTAGATGAAATTAATATCGTCCATAGCGCCTCTGGTACAATTAGATTTATGGAATATATTTACAGAATATTGTAAGGAATAAAATAAAATGTCTCGGGAAAGAGTCCATATGGTGTGGTTACCGCCAATAGCAACTTCCATAGACCTGGTGTCTGGGACACAGGACACGGAGGAGGAGAAAGGACCGATTTATTTTTCATAATTTAAAAAAGTTAATAGTAGTTCATTTTTAATTCATCATGGCTATTTTAATTATCTATCTATTTCTATACTGTTGAACACGAGCAGATTTAGCTTTTATAAAATAACAATGGTCTTGTAATTACGACTCTGGACTCATTTTTCTCATGGATTAGACTTGTTCAAGTGATAGGTATTTTAAACGATCTATTTGCATTATTTCCGTGAGAAATACGCAGGTCTGATACTAGCTATAATATTGACACCATTTGATGTTATACGCATTGTCCCACAATAAATCGCATGAGTGTAAATAATACTATTTCAGTTAGTTCTTAGTCCATAAATGTTTGTTCTTAACCAAGTTCTTAGCTTAGTACAACATTAGTCAGACAATTTGTCGCTTGTAAGTTTACACACGAGCCTTCACGAGCCACTGGCGCTAGTGAGCAGTAACCGACTTCTTTTTGCTTTGCTATCAGCTAATCTCGGCAATAAGAATGTGAATAAAATTGTGTCGGATTTGATTACCCTGAGTATACGCACAATAGATGTCTATGCCTATCCGCGGGAAAATATTTTTTATAAATAAGATTCATAAAATTTGCATTAAATTAGTAGGTACATAAGATTTCAGAACTGCACCGGCATTTAAGATATTTAGGTGAATCCTTAGTTAATCAGATGTAAGTATATGAAGAACTTAAAGTACCTACTTCGTAAGAGAGTTACTTTTATCTTACTAATTTAAGGTCATACACACCCCACTACTACAGTATGGGGTGTCATCATCAACAGCCATTTAATTCCTGGCATTTAATTAAGATATTTAGGTGCCTCCTTAGTAAATCAGATGTAAGTATATGAAGAACTTAAAGTACCTACTTCGTAAGAGAGTTACTTTTATCTTACTAATTTAAGGTCATACACACCCCACTACTACAGTATGGGGTGTCATCATCAACAGCCATTTAATTCCTGGCATTTAATTAAGATATTTAGGTGCCTCCTTAGTAAATCAGATGTAAGTATATGAAGAACTTAAAGTACCTACTTCGTAAGAGAGTTACTTTTATTTTACTAATTAAAGGTCATACACTCCCCACTACTACAGTATGGGGTGTCATCATCAACAGCCATTTAATTCCTGGCATTTAATTAAGATATTTAGGTGCCTCCTTAGTAAATCAGATGTAAGTATATGAAGAACTTAAAGTACCTACTTCGTAAGAGAGTTACTTTTATTTTACTAATTAAAGGTCATACACTCCCCACTACTACAGTATGGGGTGTCATCATCATCATCAACAGCCATTTAATTCCTGGCATTTAATTAAGATATTTAGGTGCCTCCTTAGTAAATCAGATGTAAGTAGGTATATGAAGAACTTAAAGTACCTACTTCGTAAGAGTTTCTTTTATTTTACTAATTTAAGGTCATACACCCCACTACTACAGTATGGGTATTCATCATCATCAACATCAACAGCCATAGGCCTCCTTAAAATGGAGGTTTGGTATGGGGTGTGTATAACATTAAAAACAATATTTTGTGGTCATTTATTAATGACAAGATGAACTTTTTTTGTAATAATCTAGGTAAAAACGAGACAACTGACGTTGGTTGAACCAGACTGATTCAAGTTTTTTTTTTCAAATTACCGTTTTTGTCATAAAGACACGAAAAAACAATTCTCTTATACCACAGTGATCCAAGTGTGGAGAACTAAATCTCTCACTGTAGAATGAATGGCATTCTGACTCCCATGTCTTGCCATTCTGAACTACTCCTGACAAAATAACACTTGGATCATTTTGGTGACGGAGGTGATAAAATTTTAGTAAAACTTTTCTTTAAACAAGGGAAACAGGTTTTTTCTTATTTTTTTAAAACGACAAATGTGACTGAACAGTCTGGTTCTACTATCGTCAACTGAATAACATTAACAGTAGATTCAACAATCCTAAATGGTCCAAATTACTGGCCACCACAGCTATTCAGTAGCTGTACTTGCAAAAATAGATTCTTCTTTAGAATTCTAGATTAATCACTGGTCAATTTAAATAAATTGTCTCCCTTGTCACTGGGATGGAGGGTGTAATTTATTTAATTTTTTTTGGAAACGAAATGAAAAGTTTGCATATTAATAAAGCTGTATAATGAATTATTACAATATTAATAATAAAAGGTCTGGTCTGTACACATAACACGTTTATACACGACAACTACTTGCTAGACTGTTAGTGGAAACTAATAATAGATATACCCTAAAAATACATGAATTACAACAGGCTTAATATAGAAAAGTAATAATACAATTATTGCATTTACCTAGTATCACCATCAAACGATCCGTTCAACTCAAATAACATTTTTGTAAATAATGCACAACATTCAAATTTCAAATCAAAAACAAGTCATGTTATTTTTTTAAATAATCTGACAACAAATACTTATCAACTATTTATGGCAACATTTAAAAACGCAATTAGAAATGCAAACACCTCAATATATTTTTTGTAAGTGGCATTGAATATTATAATTACCTATCCGTAACATTAAGCTAAAGCAATAACTCTACTTGGTCAGATGAACTATAATGTAAGTATAATTCACTGCAAGTTTGTATTATATTGTTATAAAACTACAAAATTTTTGAGCTTCCAAAATCACAAATGGAATCGAATAATGTAGAATACTTGAACGTTCTTTAATTGGGAATACATCGCTAGACGACCACTGGCCCGTAATTTCTACAAATAGTTACTAAAGTGTCCTCATATAAGGCTACATCCTAAAACTAAACAACCAATCTTTGTCGATATGTAACTGTCCGTTATAATTGCATTCTGTTCACGCTATGAAAATAAATCACAACCGTTTAGCTAAGTGTGAACACACCCTTTGGCACGCTCTATATATTATAACAGCTGTTATGAGGACTAGCAACGATCGAATACGTAACGAATACTGATTATTTATGTAAATGTTACAATTTTACGCAGTCACACATCTCTCTAAATTTATATATATTTAATTATATGTATATATATCAAATTATTCATATAAATTGCAGGCAATATATTAAGCACTATTCTTTGTTTAATTTTAAACAATATTAGTATAATGGTATGTGCTTAGATGACCTACCTAACTATCCCTTGCTAGATGCTATTATTTTGTATTTTCACATATGTCCGACTAGCTTTGGACCAAACGGGAGTCATTCATCAGAGAGTAGAGCTACTATGTCCGTTGCAGGACTTACCTAGCTTTATTCAGTTGGTTACAGGCTTATTAACGAGCGTTAATATGTCTGTAATGATTGTTTTCGTTTACATTGTCTGCAAATTATAAATGTAAGTAGACATACACGAGTCTATCCGAGGCGGTCAGGAGAAGGCGTTATATTTCGGAACACATCGAACGTCGGCGACGTGGAGCGCGCGAGGTCAGGACACGGCGTGTTCTCCCGCGTCATGCTTTCGAAACGTTCACGCATAGCCGCCACGTGCCCCGCTATCACGCACTCCTTTCGCGACTCCTTATCCTCTCTCTCTTGTTCCTGGGGCACGGCATCCTCATCTACGGGAGCTTTCTCTGGTGCTTCCCCTTCAGATAGTAGCGACACTTCGGACGAGGCCGTGTAATACATTTCGCTAACCGGCTCGACTGCAGCCTGCGCCTGTTCAGTTTCCTCCTCCTCGGGAGGTGAGAGGGCATCGCTCCAATGCTCGGCGCGATACGCGTCAACTATCCTCACGTCTACCTCTGTAGGACTCGCTAGTTTCTCTTCGCATTCAACTATTTTCGTAATGTCGACAGTTTCTATGACTTCTACTACTTCCTCAATCTCTTCAATGACCGTAGGTTCCTCAATAGTTTCTGCTTCCGTAGCTTCATAAGTGGAGGTCCTCATGGTTTCGCACAGCTTATTAATGGCGTCGAAAACATCCTGAAGATCGCTGACATCTTCCTCCGGCATGGTAATTTCGTCTATGGGTAGGACGGTTAGATCTGGATCAGGTTTGAGGTTGGTAAGAACAGGGGCAGCGAGAGTGTTGGCGGGGCATAGGAGTGCGTGCGCGACGGAGAGTAACGCGTGTGCAGGGTGGGCATCGGGGACCAGGTGCGCTGTGCTGGCGGAGTGGGAGGAGTGACGTGGAACGTGGGATGGCGTAGGGGCGGCGGCAGGAGAGGGCGCTGGGGGGGCGGCGGGGGCGGGCGCCCCCCTCGCTCGCTAGCAAGCACTGGAGGTGCCAGACCAGGCGTCCAGAGGCACGCGAAGGGGTGGTGGTGGTGCTTGCGCCTTGCTCACTGAAATTTCACATACGTTCAATTAAGTACAAAAATAAATAAAAAAACAGCTGATGACACACCTCGAGCACACTAAAGAAGTGACAAATTAATACTGCCTTGTAAACACCTACATACTATTTAGTAGTGATAGAAGTTTAAGAAACAAGAAAATTCACGTTTATAAAAGAACAGCTCGCACATTTTACTGAAACTAAGTTTAAAAAGTACTTTTTTATTTGTAATGTAACCGTCACACATCTTGAACATTATTTAGCTAGGTACTATTTTGTGCTTAAATTATATCTTTATTGTTCCAACAGAACTTTCTAATAATAGGTCTTTACCTATGAAATTGCCGTTTTGTATGCAATAAGTGAAAGTACTTATTTTTCAAACTTTTTTATTTCTGTTATTCGAAGTAATCACCCATGCAATCGACGCATCTTTGCCAACGCATTGGCAGTTTATTGATGCCCTTCTTGTAAAAATCAACTGGACGGGAGGCAACAAACTCTTCAAAGGCATTTTGTACTGCCTCTCGGGCATTGAATTTTTTACCCACTAAAAAGTTGTCTAAATTTTGGAAAATAATAGTCGGTAGGTGCAAGGTCTGGTGGTCACATCTGCAACCAGCTTTGGTCAATCGGTCGTCCCCACTGCTCCTTCACGACAACGCGCGACCCCATACTGCGCAACAGACAGTCTCCAAGCTGCAAGAGCTGGGGTTGGAAGCTCTCCCTCATCCGCCATACTCACCAGACCTTGCACCTACCGACTATTACTTTTCCAAAATGTAGACAACTTTTTAGTGGGTAAAAAATTCAATTCCCGAGAGGCAGTACAGTGTAATAGTGAGTGTCCGTGGACCCTCTAAGGGGTTCAAGTGGGACTAAACCATAACGACTGTTCTGCATCCATCGGCATAACCAACTGGTGAGCAGTATTTTAGGGTAGCTGTTTACCTAATCATTCAATTTGACACAATAAAAGCAAGTGTGCTCGAGTTAAACAGCGAACAATACAAATGACATCACCAGTTCTCACAGATCCGTTCTACAGACATTTGTCGCAAGAACTGGTTCTATAAATATATAATTAGATATATACATAATGTTGTTTGTTCCTATAAGAATATTTGTAGCAGAATTAAATATATTTTTTGAGTATCCATATACGTCCTGTCCTGTTACAATAGATGCCGTTAAGGTCTAAATTCGTAAACAACAGAACGTCAATTCTACAAACATAATAAACATTTGCGATGAAACTGGGCACAGACAAACGCATTCTTCAAAAGAAACTTCTTGGTTTAAAAGAGTTTTGTTTAATTATTGTCTAATCTGTGACTGTACTTAACTACAAGGGCTGTGCAGCTCGGCCCTTTTTCTACAAATATTAATAACAAAAATAATATCATATTAAATAAATATTTCATTGAAAGGAAGCAATCCAAAAGTCTATACTTTATAAAGTTCCGCTAAAACACTCGCATTTGCATCATTAGTTTGATTACGTCACTAATCGACAAATTATCGGTGTCCCAAAGTATACAGTGAAAATGAGGTTCAAAATTTCTTCAATTCTGTACCATTCTAACATGGGACAGCAGACTTTACTCGTAATGCAAGCATGAATTTAGTTTTATACTAACTTAAAAATTTTCAAGTAAAATTTTATAGTATCTGAAATCGGACATCAAGCTGGTTTAATTTTAATTCAAAGTTGGTAAAAAGGTAATTTCACGTTTAAACCTGTATGAGTTTCATATCAACTGACAGCTGTCAGCTAGTTTATCGGTTACTGACGTAATGACTGATTAGTGTTATTTGACTTTTATTAGTCCTTTTAATCATGTTTTTCATAGTTTCTTATCTAAAATATATGTTTTTAAGCATCACAATTAATCACTTGCAACGTAAAATAATTTTATCTTATATTCCTTAAAAAAATATATCATAGAAAAGGCTTTTCGTGCCCTGCTAGTAACTCTTAGTTTAATCTTCTGATTTCTCTGTAAAAACGTTTTAAAGTACAAAATACAATTGTATTCCAAGTCGAAACGTCACAATCTAGCATTATTAAAGAACTGTATATTTAAAATAATTATGTTGATAGAATTGCGTTCTATACCAAAAACATATCGTTTTATAATCAAACCACTTATGTTATGGCTGTTCACAGAATAAGAGCGAGCAACCAAAAACTTGGCATTCTCCAATAGCGTACAATATTTAAATAATTCATGCAATTAGTGAGATGGTCGTGCTCATGCAGGGTTACAAGAACGATTACATGAAGGTGAGAGACAAACATGCTGGATTTAATAGTAAATAACTTACCCACGTTTACATGCAGACCATGTACTGTAGATCACAACATACTGAATACTACATCAACATACCATTTAAGAAAATAAAATAATACGCGTCGGCTCACTTTGTCCGTCTTCGGAATTAAAAGCTTTGTTTCTTTGATTGTTACGACATAATAATTTAGAAGTTTAAAATACAAGTAGCGCCAACTGCCGTATAAAAGTGCTATTACAAAAACTAACCAAATATTTGTATTAAAAATGATCGAACTTTTTTAAGTGACAATCGTCATTTATTTTTAAAGTAAGCACACTAAGTAATTAGATTAGTATTTAATTAACTCTAACGGCATTTCAAAGGCACCTATGATGTAATGGTGTTTAATTTGTTAGGGTTATTAAAAAGGATATAGGAACCTGTTATCGACTATTCAAAAGGTATAGCTAAATTGAGTTGCTGTCTTTTTAGGTTTATATTATGTCGTATGGTATTCTACTATAGGGGGAAAGACGCCTATATTTTATTTATCTTCATACAGAAATTCGCCGTAAAGAAATATTACATGTAACTGTAAAAAAAAAGTATCAAATATAAGCATTCGTATTTCCGAAGACGCAGACAAAGTTTGCCAACCTGCGCACTTTCCTATGTAACATAACATTCTGTTAAGTCCGAGATTACCTACAATTTTATTAACGCTTTTCATTCGTTAATACTCATGAAAATCAATTAACACCATCGATTAACGTTCAGCGTGTCAAGTCAACTTTCTAAGTAAAACATTAATGAACTGTTTTTCTATAGTAAATATTAATTTTACTTTAAAACATATTTATTTTACAAATGTGTGTTTTATTACTGTCAGTTATATGAAAATATAAGTAGTTTTCCCCTTCGTATCGTTATTATAATAATATTGCAGGAATCCATAGAAATTACATTCTTTTTTAATTTAGATAGCAAAATTGCAGTAATTAGTTAACAATAATATAATTAATTATAAAAACGATAAAAAAAAATGAGGTCTCAATTTACTCGACTAATTTACTTATTCCAGTAACAAAATAATCTAGAAGATTGTTTATTTTCACAATTAATATATTAAATAATATATCAAATTAATATAATATATTTATTTACACATTAATATAAAAATAACTAAAAATAACTATTAAAATGTATGTATAATATATCTCATAGATGCCTATATGAACACTATCTTCACTACTCACTATCTTTTTTAAGGAAATATATTACCCACATTGGCATTTTACGCGAATGCCACTGTGTTATTAAATGCTTAATCGTTCGACCTACATGATGCGAATTATTTAAGTATTAAACTTTAAGTATTTGTATTAAACTTGAAAAAAATACTCTTCTGTCTATATTAGCAACCATAATGGTCAATCATCTAGAAAACTGACATGAATAAAACACAAATAAATAAAATAACTGCATCTTACTACGATATCAACCGCTAGACATACACATAAAAGCCATATCACGACATAAATTAAGAAAATAAAATACAGGAAACCTCCTTGGTAATGATTACTCTTTTATTATTCAAAAAATAATATTATTACTCTAAAATACTATGAGCGTCGTACACATCACTATCACAATAAAGTTTCAATGCATAAAAGCGTAACTCGCCCATTGCTAAATTTCTTAACTGCAAAGTAAATAAAATGGATGGATGTAACAAAATGGCCGCTGGATGCAATAAAAAGGATTACTATCACAAAAATCGGTTTATAGGTTTCGTATTCCGGTAGTTTTTATCGATATTATAAAAATTACTATCGATTTCTTTCAAAGAATATTGTCTTAATATTTACCAAACAATTTAGTGAAATGTACATATATGTGCAGCTAAGCAATTTATTGAGCAGCTTTTAAATAATAGTGAAATAGTAGTGAAGCGATACAGGTACAACAATAGCATATAAAATTTGCAGTAATGGCACCTCACTATATTAAAAACAAAAAGAATCACAACATAAGTTTTTTTTGCCTACTCTCTTCTATCGTGCAAGCATTAATACACGAATCAAACAACCGATTCGGTAAATATATTAAGCTAAATTAAAATATGTAAAATAATATATATTAATAACTACAATTATTATAATAATAAATACACTTAATGACTCAACGCGATACATTGGTAAAAGTCCTATATTATAACTAATATAAAACATTTTATAGAAAAAAAGATGCTTATTCAATAAATGAAAAAAATGTAATTTGGTATCGAATTAAATGTATGTGATCATGAGTTTTGCATTGTTTGTTCGAACATTTTAACCAAAATAATGACTAATTCGTATTATTTATATTTAATATCAAAAAACAAATTATAAGTCAGTATTTTGATAATTACCACACACTAGTTAGTAAAATGGAATGAAATTTAATGTTGAAAATGTACGTGAATGATTATGAAATATTGCATTTAAATGTAATAATAATTACCAGTGATAATTCTGTGTTCCTGGAATGACATTTCTAAATGCTTTTTTTTTTGTAAACAATTTTGAGAAAAAAATATTCGATGTATGGCCAGTGAAAGAATATAATCAATAAACATAGAAGGTAGGTTTACAACTATTATATGCTTACCGGGTGCAATAACTAGCAATTTAATGATTTTAAATATATGATGTGTGCTTGAAAATGTATTTGTTGCAAATGTATATTTTAAAAACTGTTTTGCTTATATATATCGACATTTTACATTTCTTTTATCTGTTTTAATAAAAAGAAATGCGTTAAATTTTATAACTGCAATATATAATTATGTATTTGTTCGGGAATTAAAAGGCGTCGCCATCACCGGATTTGGTGTGGATGGATCGATTCCTCTACATATGCACAATTACATATAAATAATAGAACGAGGAAGAAGAAACTTTGCACTATTTAGTACATTTAAATAAAAATATTTATATTTATTTGACATTACTAACATTTCAATTGACAAGCCCACATCTTAGTCCAATTTCAGTCTCAATATAGAAACTTAATCAAGAGATATGTATCATGCAAACATGCAGACGTAAACTGTAAAATTAACATATGAATAACAAATATATGTAGTATAATAATTTAAACGTTCAAGAAACATAATTTATTCTCATGACTATATGGTTTGTTTTGCTATTATGCGCATAAATTTCGTCTTGTACCTATTGCACTTAATTCTACTTAGATAACCCTAAGTTAATACTATGACTAAGCAGAGCATGCTTGTGCGTTTTGCTCTATATATCGATAATATTTTTAATCTTTGTTTTTAATTTAAGTCAATTTATATCGAATTCGACACATAAACTTTCAAAGAACCATGTATAAAGACAGAGAATATGATTTATTACTAAAATACCGTAAAGAACATTTTTTTATTTACATTGTACTTAAAATATTTTGCACTACGAAAAGCGTTGCCACCCAAAATATTTTTTTATGCAGCAACCCTAATCCTTGAAGAGAATTTAAGACTCTTGTTGTGTGGATATTTTTACATTTATAAGCTAATTGCATCATTATCATCAGCCTATCGCCGTCCTCTACTAAACGAAGGGCTACCTCGAGGAGCGCCAACTATCCCGTTCTCGGACAGGCCGCATCAACTAAATTTAGTAGTAAGTATTTATTAGTTTCGAAAGAAAAGAAGAAAAAAGAAAATAAAAAAAGAGAAGTTTTTTATTTCTAAAGAGTTTACGATATTTTAGTAATCATGATCACTATCATAGTTTCAGCCAATAAACGCCCACTACTGGACATGGCCATCCCTCAATAACTTCTCAGAACTCCGTTTGGAAACGGCTTGCAACCACCAACGTCTTGTCATCTTTATAAGACCATCTGTCCACTTATAGTAATCCACAGATGTTAATCACTATTCATATGATGGTAGAAACAGGGCTTTTATAATAAAATATTAAGTGATAGCCAATATATTCATAATATAATGCCTATACCTTATTTTTATAGACTATTTAGTCAAAGGTTTTACTTTTTATAAGTATGCAAAAACAAGAAATGAAAATTTTCTTGTCTCTATTATTTAAAAAATTATGTTGGTATTGCAAAGCCGGTTCTAACTATACTGTCGTTTCTTTGCTTCTGAGCATCAAAACAATTAACATCTTGATAAATAATGGGTGCCCAGGTATCAGCAAATACAACTGAAAGACCGCTAACTATAATTCTTTTGAACTAGTAACTTAATTTAATTATATTTAAGTCTATATTAAGTGGTGCCAACTTGTCTAGCTTATTATGCCTCGTACCTCATATGCCTTAACCGTTGCAATACTATAGGGCGAGACCCTACATAACCCCAAAACGCCCTTTAAATAACTTGTAGAGGCGCTATTTATTAAATTCGTTACGAGGTACTAGCTAAACGTTACAGTAGAAGTGGCGCCCTCTAGAGCGTGGAAGTAGAACGCTGGTAGTATCCGCGCGTCGGTGCAGTCTCACGAGTACTTACCGGCGACTGTCGCGCTGCTGTAGCCCTTGGCGATGCGCATGAAGGGATCGGGGTTGGGGAACAGCGAGGGGGGGTTGAACAGGTCCGCGAACCGCGCCTCCAGGTCGCGCTTTGACGAGCCGCGCACTGGTGGGGCGGGAGCCTCGTCGCCGTTTAGGGTCTGCAAACGTTTGGTGTTATTTTGTAATATAAAAAAAAAACAGATTACAATGTTGTACCTCTACACTCCATAGCATAGGTAAGTAGAAAAAACATGAAATGGGTTTATATCAAAATCGCTTTTTCTAACACACTTTTCAGTAGTTTTTATAATCAAAATGATGAATGCCACACACAACTGTCATGTGTTTTGTGGGACTCAGTGAATTCGTTTAATTTATCCATTAAGTTAGTCCAAAGGCTCGCTTGTGCCTGCGCTTAAGCAAACTCGGTGGCAGAATAATAAAAACAATAATAAATAGGACTTACAGGGTGTCTATGGTGCGGCGGAGGTGGTGGAGGCGGCTGCGCGTGTCGTGCAGGGGGCGGTGGGGGCGGCGCGCCGGGTGGTGGGGGCGGAGGTGGGGCGCCAGGGGGCGGGGGCGGACACACGCCGGGGGGCCGCATGCCGCGAGGTGCACGGAGTGTTCCTGCGGGGGGAGCAACAGCATTAGCAATACTTCTAAATTTTATTTGGTAATATTTTCAAAATTTATGTAATGAAAACATTACAGACAAATGTTATAAAAAAAACTACAATTTATATACTGTATAAAGTATATGAACTAAAAAACATTTAATAAAAAAAAAAAAACACTGATGGTGATTTATTTAATATTATATTCTTACCGAAATGTGATGCAGGATTCTTCGTCCCAATGGGGGGATTAACAGGAGCAGGCGGTAGATTGAAGGGACGCGTCCCGCCTGTTTGAGGAGACGACGGAGATGTCGGCGGGGATCTAAGAACACATAAAACCAATATTAGCCAAGAACTTAGAAGGTTAGCTTATTTAATATTAGAAGAAGGTACGATGCAAAGGCCAAACAAGTTTATCTTCCTTGACTAGAACTAAAACGAGGCCTGGACTAAATTCTGATGAAAACTAAAGTATGCTTTAAAATAAAAAAATAAAGCAACATTTTATTTATATAATCAATTTGGTAAATTGCCTGTCTTTTTTATATTTTAAACATAAGATAAACTGCGGGAAATGGACAAATTTCTACGATTATCAACTTCTATTTTTTCTTTCTTATTATTTTATTTTATTATTCAAATTCTATTTCACAGAACTCGTGGTATGTGAAAATGGTATGGGTATTTACCTTGGGACCCTCATACTCTGAGTTCTTCCAGCAATCTTCCCGTTGGTGAGCAACTTCTTCGGCGGTGGCGATGGTCTTGTATCAGGAGCTGGAGCTGGCGGCTTTGGAGCCAGATTTGGTTTGCCGTGGCTCACTCTGGGGCGTTCGCACAAGTCTGAGGTGGATAGTGAAGGCGCTGGAGAATGTGCCGGCGGTGTTGGTGAAGAAAGAGATGTCATACTACCACCTAAAAATAGTAAAAATGTGTGAATGTTTATAGCTTCCATTAAGTTAGATATTATATAAAAATATAATGCAATATGAAGAATACAGTAAATACTTGTTTACTTATAAACAAAGCCTATATAAAGTCCATGGTCTTAAAACAACATGATTAAACTCTCAATCCAAATACATTTAAGTACATCTGGAATTTGTGGATGAACAAACTGCAGCTACAACTTTTAAGTCTGTTCTCGAGATAGCATAAAATCCCTTTCCATGGTAGGTTATCACTTGGTTGCTTTTGTTTTAAAACAAACAGATTTTTTAAAACATTTAAAAGCTTTGGCGATTTTGATTTGATGATGATGGTGACAAAATAATTATAACCGTTTATTGCATAGCAAAACTACTACTCATCCAAGGTCTCTGACACTTATCATCGCCTTAAAACTAACTTCCCATTTAATATATATATATGTATATCTCACACACACACACGGCGGTCTGATCCCAAACTAGGCAGAGCCTGTACTATGCAACATACTTATATATTTCTAAATACATACATATTTTAGATAAATTACACCCAGACACAGAACGAATGACGGTGCTCATCACACAATATTTGTCCTGGGTGGGAATCGAACCCACGACCTCGGGAGCAGTCAGAGTCACTAACCACTAGACCAACAGACCCGTTTGATTAGATACTTTCAATTCTATACTTCAACTAAGACATTTAAAAATGTTTCTTACCAAGGGCCCCTTGTCCAGCTGCGTGGAGTGAACTCCTATTTCTGTGCAGCGTGGTAGACACATGAGGAGCTAGTGTCTGCTCCGACACCTGCTGCTGAAGACTACTAATACGTTCCAGAACTGAATTCGTCGTTAACACGGAATCAGATGAACTCTGCAACAAAACGAAGTGGGAATATTAATATGGGTTTTATAGTATCCTGGTATGGCAACGACATCAGTATCCATTGTTACTGGCTCAGAATGGTTTGGCACACCCTTAAACAAAAGATAAGGAAATAGTGTTACGAGCGGGGTTTACAATAAATAAAAGTTGTTGGTTTATTACTTTTATTGCACTGTATTTACAAAAAAGAAATCACTAGATAACTCGTTAGTCGAACTAGAATATCGCTTCGATGTTAATTAGTTGTATCGTAAATCAATATTGTCCAGCACTTTTATAGTGCTATCGAAAATACTAGACTAATCCCGAAGATGCGATGGAATGTTACACAGAACCACGTACAATAAGGCATCAAATTTCTATAATTTTCCGATATTCGACACTAGATGGCACTGCAAGTAAGTATCGGAATTAAGAACCATAATCTCAATGCGTTGTGCTGACTAAACTCAAACTGACTAAACTCATGACATGTATGAATTCGTTTTGCATTAAGAATATTCATTCGACTAAACTCTAATCAAACCACATAATTTTAGGGTCACCCTTTTTTTTTCCGTGCGGAAATCCCCTCGGATACCATCTATCGGTGGCATCTCGTACTCGAACCGACTAAACCGCACGCCGTCTCGGGTACTAATAGCCGGGGAACCAGGTATACCCTAGATTTAGGGTCACCCCTAGCTGAGGCACTAATCGAATGTTTAAGAATATTCCACCATGCTTTAGAAGTTTCCACAAAGGTGTCGAGACAGTCGAATCATAAAGAATATTACGCAAATTATTAGATTAAAAGAACCCCTCACTCTACAAGACTGCACGGATGGCGTAGTGGTTTAAGCGGTCGCCACGCCGTTTATTACTATGCTGAGTGCTGTGGGTTCGATCCCCACATGGGACGACACTTTGAGTGATCCACAAATTGTCGTTCTGAGTCTGGGTGTTTTTTGTGTCCGTTCATGAATGTTTGTAAAGTACTCCGCGACTCAGGATATATTCCTATTGCGGACGTTGTCTAATATTATATTTAAAAAAAGTGGGTCGTCTAAAATCAGCTGTCGAAATATTCTCGTTCTTCGTCACAGCGATTAAGCAAGTACGAATAATAACGGACGGTACAAATGGATATCAGAGAGAATTGTAGTTATTTGCGGATCATTGCGATTAATAATAAATTTTGCCTGTTCCGTGTGTGAATCGGTGTATTGATCTAATTACGAACCCGCACATGTAACAATAAAGTCAGATAAAGTCGTAATATTTCAGTATCTTTTTCTTCAAATTTAACGTTTTTTTTTTATTTCGGAGCTATGAATGACATTTACTGTTATAAATAACTTGCAACTACCTACCTCTGACGGAGCTTTATGGTCGAATTTCGACTTACGAGCTATCACTAATGCTCTCGGTTGGACTGATAAGACTGTAATCACCACAAAGGTTAACTTCTTACAGTTTCCAACAACTATTTACCAACAACACTTACAAAAACAATGCGAAGTCAAAGCTGTTCTCGAAAATTTTAGAAACTTTTAAACACTTCTTCACGTCTTACGCTCAGCATGCAATGCTGTATAATTGTTTCAAGTTTTGCGTGTGGATGTCGAAAATTCTCGACGTTATGCAAATCGATTGGACTACGTGTGGCAGCATACGTAAACGCGTTTACTGACCTGAGGGGATTAATACTTAGATTGCGAATTCTAAGCGTAAACAACCCTCGATATCGTTTATCGTTCATTGGAGGTGAGACAGACGAATGGCGTCCAAAAACTCTTTAACTGAAGGAGGAAACTTAAAATGAAATGTATTTATTTGGATAATATTTTTCTCCAAGAAACGGCAGAAAACAGTTTATCTAGGCGTTATCATCTTGAAGACGAATGCAAAAAGCACAAAGTACTCGTAACTTGTCCACCTAAGTTCTATTGCCCAGATACTAGGTATTTTTGGCCTAACTATATTGATAATTTTCTAGAGACTGTTCTGAATCCTAATTTTTGTTGTGTTGTCAAATGAAATAACAAATCAAAATTGTTCTTAAATACGAGAAAATTTAAATAAAACGAAGGACGTAAAAGAACGTAAAATAGAGGAGATAATACTACTAAAGCCATTTCTTTCATAAATCCCATAAGTCCTTTTATTGTACTTGCAACCGCTTGTTTTGCATGTGTAACATTAAGATAACATTTGTTACTTAAATTCACTCTACTTTTACTTTTAAGTATTGTACTTAAAAGTAACAAGCAACAAGAGCACTGCAAAGAGAAGGGAAACTTCAAGTCGCCTGACTAGCGTGGTATAGTAGGCCAAAACTTCCTTTCTAAGGAGAAGCCTATGTCCAGCAGTGGACTATAAGAGGCTGATGTTAATATTGGAATAGCAATTTGATGTTCTGTCCTAGTTGTTTCTCCAGTCACAGTCCAAGACTTACCTACCCTAATGAATTCTTCCTTTGTCCTATCTGAAGAAGAAATCAATCGCGAAGAATTTTGGCGTCAGACAGGCGCTCGGTCATAATTTTTTGCAATGTTACACATTGTGTCGAAACGATTCCAATTTCATCTCAGAGATCATTTATAAAGGTTACGAGTATACGTATACCCTGTTGTTGTCGACAGTATGCGTCAGCTACTTATCTCATAGCGTAAATCAGAGAGAAATGGATTTCTCAATAGCGGCGGTTGGCTGTGCGCCAATGTTTCACTACATATACTGAAACAAAGTACCCGGTATTCTACAAAGTTACCGTCATTGTTCCTATGTGACAATACAACGGCGAATTCTATCTACTTAACACACATAACCATTTCTTTGGGCAAGTTGTAGTTGGCTATGAAGAAACATACAATGCATCGTTTGTTTTAATGGGTATCTGAGTCATACACATAAACAACAACATGACAACAAAATTAGAAAAAAAAACTGTGTCCCAAAGGATTAACCAACATTTTACCCGGACATAAAAAATATCGAAGACTCGGTACTACTGTACTAGTTGTGGATCACACAAAATTTTGTTGCCTGTGATAATCCACAAGTAGTGCAGTATAGTGATTAGGTGACGTCTGTGACAATTACGCCGTCAGTGTAATTACTTTTCCATGACTGTTTCAAAGATAAAATTTCTTATTATATAAATATTATTAGAACTTTTAACTGTGAAAAGGGCATTAATTCGAAATGACAATCCTTTTTTAACCGACTTCAAAAACACTAAAGAGAGGGGTCTCAATACGTCTGTATGTTTTTTTTTTAAGTTCTGAAAAATATTAATCCTTTTTACTAAACTACGGCGAAGCCAAAAAATAGGTGGAGGACCTGTATGTATTTAGCTGTGTAGGTATGCCCTATTCATCGGTTACATTAACATCATAAAACATCAAAATGGTGGATTGTGTTCCCGAATTTTTGTCGCATAATATAAAGGGGCTCGCAAAGTCAGGCAATCATAGTGAGGCCAGTTTATCAATGGGTGACGATTTTAACACATTTTGACTCTCCGGGCCTCGGAGAGCATGTTAAGCAGTCGGTACCGGTTGCCATACCAACATCTATGGCAATGGTTACGGGTGGTTGGAGACCTGGTCCAACAACAGTCTTTCTACAGAACTTCAATATCGCCTAGTACTTGGGTCGTGGAGATCTGATGGCAGTCGCTCAGCGTAAAAAATCAAAGTTCAGCCATATCGTTGTATACTTAAAGCAGACTCGAAGGAAGAATAAAGTAGCGTATTGTAATAAAGGAGTTTAGAAAGTATTTACCTAAATATATAAAGCTATAATTTTATAAGTTATTATTTTAAAAAGGAGATTTTTTGGTTACTCGTGAAATTATGTAAATATTATTGAATGTAGATATTTGTTAGAGTCACACTGTTTACCAGACTGTTTGTCACTGAGTTACCAGAAAGCCATTCTGATATTTTATAACATGTTGATATTCTCGATAATTCCTCCATATTAGAGACACGCTTAATTTAAAATTTATAAAATAATATTATCGAAATCGTTTATCCAAAACGCGGAACTACCGCAGACTGTTTTAACTCACTTATTCATAACTCGGTTTGAACGGCGATCGTTCCAGGATACAACCTCTTTATGTTTTTATTGCAAATTCTTGCAGTTTTTATAGTACGAGTAAACTATTAAAAAGAAACCACTTTGAAATTCACTATAATAGATTTCATTTTCCTTTCCCTTTCTTCTCTTCAGTTAAATTATTTAAAAAATCTCAGAGAATCTTTGGAAATTGATGAAAAATATTGACAAAGATGATGTTTGTTATTTTATGCAATGTTTGTCAATTAATTTTAAATTAAAATTTAATTAATTTTAAATGGCATTATTTTGTAATCTACTTCAAAAAGGAAGAGCGTCGCAATATTTTTGTCTCTGTTGCATTTTGTAGCTTATCCTTTGTATGTTGTAAACTAATTCTCAATAATCATTTTTATAGACTATTCTAGTTAATGTTGGTTCCAATTAAATTTAAAGAAAATATTCCACATTTTAAAGGAAGGACAATAGAGGATTTAACAATACAGCTTATTATTTATCATTATTAATTATACTACATTATTTTCATTTCTGTCGAAGTCACAAAAATATCCTACCCTAAACTGTTAAATACCTTAAATCCGTGTTAAGGTTGTCTGGAAGAGATTGCTGTGAGCGACAAGACCGCCGATTGTTACGTCTACTTATTTGTAATTCATCTTTTGTTATTTCCTATTAAAGTGTATACAATAAAGATATAAATAAAAATAACAAAAATAAATCAAATCAAAAACTCAACATCTGTTCGCTAATGACTCAACCAAATCAAAGTTATAATTACGATAATGTTTAACCAGAAAGCTAAGAGTGTATCGTTAGGTCACCAATCAGATCGAGATGACAAAGACTCCTTATTAGTCACCAGAGAGCAGTTATCTTCCGACAACATCATAATATCTTAACCTTAGATATGACGTTGGTTA